CATTCCAAAAGACCATCAACCTCATCCACACATAATAGCTTTAAGAGCTTTAGAGGTCAATATCACTCAAGATTACATTAATAATCTCATTGATGAGTATCATGAACGATATAGAATGTTATTAATGCAAACGGGGAGGATATAAATCTCATTGAAACCGATTTGCAGCTTCATACGAAATTACTTTTTTTTATTTTTGGTAACGTTCTTGTGAATAAAATGGAAAAATGGAATTTGTGCTCGATTTAATAAAAAAATTAATGAAAATTTCCATTACAAAATGTTCTATAGTTCTGAAACAAAAATGCATTTTCTCACCAATGTCCTTAACTTTTTGGAAACAGTTTATATCATTCTTGTCAATTGCAGCGTCGTTTTTTTACAACGTTATTACGTTTTTGAAACCATTTTAATTATTGTTTTTACATTTTATAACTGACAATTTTTAAAACAATGTTTTATAAGTAAACTTCTAAATATCTAATAAGCAATATATTATTCAGCATTTTTAAATTAAATAGTTATACGTAAATTTATTTTGTAGCTATTTCGTATATTTGAATTATTGTATGTTTCAACCTATTAGTAAGTGTAGTGTTTTCAACGATGCCCAAACTGTTGTTTAGTTGGAAAATAAAGATTATTCTATTCTACTCCATTTTATATTTATGAAATTTTATAAAAACTAGAGGAAATCATAAACAATATGTAGATCGTATATGATATTAATATATTAAACGTATCTAAAATTTAAAGTGTTGGACGATGTATCAAAAATCTGTAATCGGGTTTTACCTGTATGATTGTTTAAATAAATACATACATCTGATCTGACCTGTGAACATTTGTAAAACAAATATCTTATTTGTTCGAAGATTTTAAAGTGAAATCCCTAAATTATTATGTTTACTGACAAATATATGAAGTATCATGTCAAATTATTTTAAGTGTAAACTTGCCGATGATGATGAACTTTAAAAATAAGTTAGTTGATTAAGTATAGGAAAAGATTAATTTGCTATTAGTCGGTATACAGAGTATACCTAACCAACCATTCTAAATCACTGAGTTTTGTCGAATTAATTATTAAAAACTGCTCGTATATTGTCTTGTGTTATTTCTTGATAAGATATCTGATGTGGCTAGCAGTAACTTTTCTTATACCGGTATACATATATATATACCTTAATTAAATTTTAAAAGCGTACCTTGAAATGTTTCATTAAAATTTTTAAATAGTTAATTATTAGCGTCATTCGATACTGTCAATAATAATTCTGTCACATATTTTAATAACTTCTTCTTATTGACATTGACATTTTTATAACTAAATTAAATCTAATGTCAAACTGTTAAATTTATCCTAACCCCATTTTATGAGCCCAAATGTGTAAAATATTTCGGTTTACATCAGCTTTATTTAATTACTTGGAAAATATACTTTAATAATTTTATCAAAAAAAGAAAGTAGCAAACAATTACTTAAAAATTTTTCTATATCGAGATTAAAATTATGATAATTTTGATAAATTTTGATAAATTTAACATTCATAGTAATCTTGATTCTTGATACGGAGAAGTATTAATGTGAATCATAACTTTAAGACTCTTTTTTTTATTGAAAAATTTTCAAATTGTTTCACAAAATTATTTAACGGTACAAGACTGACGAGGTTTTGTGGAAAACTACGTCAGTGTCAACTTCATATCAAAGCTACCCACCAACTTCAAGATATTTAACGGTACAATTAATTTTTTGAAGAACTTTTCCTAATACAAGTTTTTTCTATCCCAAACGCTAATATGATTTCCAAATTTAAAATATCCTAGGAGGATATGACTTTGAGTTAAGCAAACAAGTTTCCCCTCAAAACCTTCGCCTTTAGACAAACTTTAACTGAGCACTTATTTCTAGGTCAAGGTTCCGATTTCAATCCCCACTTAATGAACTAGAACGCATCCTTGTATAATCGCATACTAATATTTGTATACGATTTTTCAACTTTACCCTCACTCGTACGGGAGCAAATAATGGACAAAAGAAGTTATCTGCAGTATCTTATTGTGCTTACTATCAACTCATATTCTGCGTAATAATCCCTGTAGGAGTTATTCTACGTTTCCTTGTTTGTTACTGATAATTTCATGGTCTAAAAATATCAATTTCAAGTACCTACTTATTTATAAACCTAAATCGTATTAATATGAATCTAAATTAATAAGAATCATAATTCGGACTGATAAGGAATAAGAGCAGACAAACCCGATTTAGAACTAGATAGGAACCAAAATTATTTTTATAGATGTATTGTATTCCCACACAAATATTGCAACATCCCAATAACACAAACAGCCAATATAAGTATTTATATAATATGCTGAATTTAGAATATAAGAGTGAGAAATATGTGTGACACAAGAAACGATTCTGTCTATGCAAATTTTCAGTATTTTGAATATCAGCGCCACTATATTGTAGATGTCATGATTGCATGGACGTGGAGTGTCACTTGACCATAGATAACAGCATCCATGGAGTGAGTGACCACGCCAACAACAAAACATTGTTTGCAAACTTTTCTATGAATTGTATTTAGTAATCCATTTAAATTTACTTTTTGCTGTTCCTCAACGGTTTTTTTGTCACAAAAATTTTCCAAGACAATATAAAATGTTTCTCTACAATATGTTATTGTGCTTTTGAAAGATACGTAATACAGTATTCCAGAACTTCATATAAATATTGTTTGAATGTGATTTTTGACACTATAAGAAGGAAAAAGAAAAAAAATATATAAATCGAACAACGCTTCCAGACCAACAAAATTTTACGTTTTTTTTTTAATATGCTAACTTCTCTTAAGACACGATGTTGCAAAGAATAAACTACGTAGACTTTGAATGATGCTATTTGCTCACGTTGATGTAAATGATGTATTAAAAATTATATTTTGACTTTTTAGCCCCATACCTTATTAATTAAATTAAGTTTTTCTACAAAAATATAAAAAGCATGCAATGGTCTATTTATTCACCAGATTAATGTGAATACATCCTATGATTTAGGCTACTGCTATGAAATCTTTCCGTGTCACAACATTTATTATAGATTATTCCCAAAAAATATTAATGGTAAATATGTACCTACATGAAAATGCTCACGTGTAATCAATTGCGACAGCGGATGTGATATTAACAAATAATAATAATAACAAACCACTTTAGAAACAGGTAGATAAATCGAATGATATTTAGCTGTCAGATGATTACATAGTAGTGAGTAAAATAAATAGAGGCAAGTAATTTGTTTACGGATAATTTTTAATTGTCACAATTTACATAAAATAACAAAGACACTGTCGCAGACGCACGTAGTTCGAATAAATATAATATCGATTTATCAATAATTACGTAACTGAGGCTGAGTTAATTGCTCTTAAAAGCCATTACAGTTTTAACTTCATAGGACGTTACCATCAGGAATGTAACCATTAATCACTTTTGATAATTTCCTGAAAAACACGTTTTTTACATCTGTTTTAACGTTAACATTGGGAAAATTAATACATCGGTTATAGATTTTCTCTATTCTCAGTTTCAGTGATAACAACAAAGTACAAACATATTTTATTGCATGTGAATTTATTGCAATATTATACTCTATGCTGGATAGCCATACACGGAAAAGGGAAATATCAATTATTCATTGTTTAATTCGTTTTTGATTTTTATCGGTGCCTGGAATAATCCAGACACGTGTTAAAATTAAAACAATTAAACACGACAGGTAATACAACCCCCTGTATCCCTGAGTACTTTGAGGTACCTTGTGTGGGAGAGAGCTACACATTTAGAGACAATGGACACACACCCAATGTTCGAATATACTTATAGTCTAAGATCCGATTTAAGGACGACCTTCACCCATCCATTTAATGGATGAAAAATATTTTATATTAATTTTAATATGTTATAAAATATATCGCGAGTGGGTTGGCTAAAAAACTCCTGGCAAGACTATAATTAATTAAAAATTGAATTTTTTTTTTAAAGGAACAAATTATATTCCAATCGAAACTATGAAGCCTATAGAATATGCAAACGTTAGGTTGTCTATTTTTTTCCTGGCGTAACTATTGGGTTGGCAGGTATAAACAGGTAATTCGATATTAGTAATTTACATTCATCTGTTTAATGAATAAATCTTATATCAAAATAAAGGTAATTAAATTACAAACAGAATTATATAGGGTTGTCTGCGAAAAATCTGATTTAAATTCCGGTTGGCGAGCTTTAAAAAGCGAAATATTGGTGAGAATGAAAATGTGCGACAAAGAGGTCCGAGCAAACTATCCGGTGCGATAGAAGAGGACGCAGCATTACAGCTGCGCGCGGCTCGTCCATCGGATGAAAGAGAGTGCGTATACTATTTGTTCATGCAATTGAGAAGGGTAGCGATAGACTAGTAAATACTCTGAGCATTATCTATCGCACCGGATAGTTTGCTCGGACCTCTCTGTCGCACATTTTCATTCTCACCAATATTTCGCTTTTTTAAAGCTCGCCAACCGGAATTTAAACCAGATTTTTCGCAGACAACCCTATATCATTCTGTTCGCAATTTAATTACCTTTATTATATTATATATAAGATTTATTCATTAAACAGATGAATGTAAATTACTAGTATCGAATTACCTGTTTATACCTGCCAACCCAATAGTTACGCCAGGAAAAAAATAGACAACCTAACGTTTGCATATTCTATAGGCTTCATAGTTTCGATTGGAATATAATTTGTTCCTTTAAAAAAAAAATTCAATTTTTAATTAATCATATTCTTGCCAGGAATTTTTTAGCCAACCTACTCGCGATATATTTTATAACATATTAAAATTAATATAAAAATATTTTTCGTCCATTAAACGGATGGGTGAAGGTCGTCCTTAATTCGGATCTTAGACTACTAGTATTAATTTCTGGTTTAGAATAAAATCTTAGCGTCTCGACTGGGGATTGAACCCGAGACTCGAAGGTGAAAAGCAAGTGTCTTTACCACTCGACCACGAAGCCACCAGTGTTGTTATTTTTTATATGAACATAAATAATACTGGCCAATTTCCCCCCTAAAACAATTTAAAAAAAGTTTCATGTTACCGTGTTGCATTGTAAGCAAAAATTATTATAATTACATTCGTTTATTTGTATTAATTTATGGAAGTGTGGTTTATGATGTGACATTTCAAGATGAAATTTTGGACAAGTGCAAAGTGGTAAATTCATTCAGTCACCACAATTACGCCTGACTTTACCAAAACGGCAAGTAATGGGAGATCTCGAAAATATACGGGCCAGAAATCAGCACAATGGCTTTTTTAACACGAGTCTTTAGTAATTTTTATGAAAGTTATCTGAAAAACATTTAACCCAATGATGGCAGAAAGGGAAAGTAATTTACTTGCTCAGTAGGGAAATTATTGTACCTATCAGAGGTGTCTTATGTCATTAAACTTAGGTTATATCAAGTATGAGCATGATGAAAACAACGAATGTGCATGATTATTACTTACGATTTTCTGTAGTAGACTCCTTTGGTAAAGCATAATCGTTAGGATTAAAATGTTCCTTATAAACACACGAATGTTTCGAAGGAGTAAAGTTATACCAGCAAATCACTACCAACCACTGTTTTAGGCGAGATTTATCTCTCGGAAGCATATGTCCGCCTGTTGTTTCCTAATAAAATGGAACTGCACAACACTGAGGCACAATTAACAAGTTTTTTTATTTATTGGGGTACGAAACAATTATAATAAAACCCTATAAACTTTTTCCGCGCCTAACAATAACTCTTGACAGAACCTTACTCACCAGTGGCGCCAACTGGTGAGCCTAAAAACGTTAGCCCTCATTATAAACACTTAAGCTAACGACGTTAGATGTTGCGACAACGCGACAGTCATTAGTACTATTTCTGCCTGTTGGTACATTTTATTTGTTTCATTCAAAATCGCTTTGAATTTCAGTAGATTTTATTTGTAATAACTGAAAATGCTTACTTGCGGCCGCAGTTAGAGGTGCAGAGAACTTCGATTAAATTATTTACATTATACGGGGTGGCCCATTAGTGCGAGGAAGTTTAACATCTCTCTTATTATAAGAAATATGAAAAATATGTTTTAAATAAAAGATATAGGGCTTACTTGTTGCCCATTTCTGATATACTGTGAAATACATAGGCCGTTTCATTAAAGTTGGACAGCTTAAAAGTCGAATTTTTTAAATGACACACCCTGTATATTTTTACACCATTGATTTCAGAATATAATTTTATGCCCAATACTAAATCTTTATTAAAAAAAATGGATAGTTTTTGAGAAATTTTAAATTTAAATTAGGGAAGATAAAAGACCTGTTATTTAAACCAGTAATCGTAATTTTAAATTTAATTTATAACTCAACAATAATTGCGTTTTTTCACAAGTAAGCTATGACTTTGACATTTAGTAATTGTAATTTAAACACAAAACTTTTAACTGTACTTTCTAAATTTAAAACTGAAAATGAAAACGAAAATTAAATGATACGAAATTATATTTTTTTTCACAATTTTACGGCTGAAGAATAATTTAAACAATTACAATATTTAAAAATAAGACCATGATAACTATGAAAAAAAAACACAAAACTTATAACAGATGTTAAAAGTAAGGCTAGGAATCGAATACGAATAATTCGAGTATTCGAATATTCGTGTAATCGGATACGAATTATTCTAATGTGAAATTAATCGATTATTCGAATACTCGAATATATTCGAATATCGAATACTCGAATATATTCGAATACTCGAATTTTCGAATACTCGAATATATTCGACTATTCGAATAATCGATTATATTTGAGTAAATCTGAACTTTGAAATATATTATTAAATTATGTACAAATAGGTATTCAGTATGCATGCATCCAACCAAAGTAGGTTGATAGTAGGTATAGGTAGGTACCTATTCTAAAATCCAAATATATAGATAGACCACATTAGTGGCACGTTTTACTCCCAGTTAAACTATTCCATCTCTTTCTCGCCTCGACCTTATTCTTACTGTACTAAGGCAGGGGTTAAAATTAAATTTTAAATTTTAGAAAACCTGTAAATATTTAACTATTGACTTTTCATGTATTTGTTTTACTAATAATAAATATTCAAAGATCCGGATTATTCGGATACCTATTTGAATAATTCGGATTATCGGATTATTCTAGTATTCGATAATTCGAATTATTCGATTAGGTATTCGAATAATTCAAATATTTGAATTATTCGAATATCTTCGAATATTCGAATATTCGAATATCCGAATAATTCGAATATCTATTCGAATAATTCGCATAATTCGAATATTCGAATATCCGAATAGTTCGAATATTCGAATATTTTTTCGAACGAATATTCGAATACTAAAATCTGGAAAATTCCCAGCCTTAGTTAAAAGTGACCACCGGCTACTTCTAAACAATAATGTACGCAGTTTTCAAAAGATCGACTAACGTGGCTTAATATATTGATGTTAATGTTTTGGAATACTTCCCTAATTCGAATTTTCATATCCTCCTTTGTAATTGGAGTGTTTTAATACTTGATCTTTGTCGTAGCTCCACAAAAAAATTCCAGTTTTGTCAAGTTCGGTGAGCGAGGTGGCCACTTAAAAGGTCCTCCTCTACCTATCCATCTTCTGGGAAATTCATTATTTAAATGTCTGTGGTGAGGTACCGTATGGTGGACGGCACTCCGTCGTGTAAATACCACATTTTCTGCCCGATTGGAATGGGTATATGATTTATTAACTGCGATACCTGATTCTTCAAAAAATTTATGTAAATCAGGCTGCCAAGTCTTCCCTCAAAAAGTAAGGCCCAATCACTTAATTTCCGATTATGCCACACCATACGGTTAATGACCAACTTGTCTGACTGATAGTCCGTATACAATGTGGATTTTCGGTTGCATAATAATGGAATTTATGTTTATTAATAAACCCTTTTTTATGGAATGTCGCTTCATCAGCAAATAATACATAATTGAAAAAATCCCCTATCTTGAAGAATTTGTTGTTGAGCCCATTCACAAAAAGTTATCCTTTTTCCGAAATTTTTATTTAAAAACTCCTGCATTAGTTGTATATGGTACGGATGGAATTTGTTTTTTTTTTCAAAATTCTTTGCACGACAGTCCGACTTATGTCACTTTGTTTCGATATTTCTCTAGTCGAGATATGAGGATCTTCTGTAACTTTTAAAAGAACAGTCATTTCATTTTCTTGGGTTAATGCAGTCTTGATTGTTTCTTTTTTTTCATATGCGACATTTCTCGTTCGAGTAAATCGCTGCAGTAAATTTTTAAAAGCTTCTTTCCTGGGTTGCCTTCTGTCTGGATATCTTTCATGGTACATTCTTGTAGCAAGTAAACAGTTGTTATCACTTACTCCCAGTACAAAAACCATATCTGTCAATTCTTCTGTAGAAAAATTCATTATTTTAAACACTACTGTACTACAATTCTGCAGGTATGAAATTATATAACAGTTAACTGTTTGTCTTATTGTAATATCATTAATTTACTAAAACTGCGATTACTAAATGTCAAAGTCATAGCTAATTAGTGAATAAACGCAATTATTTTTAAATTATCAATTAAATTTAAAATTTCTCAAAAACTGTAGGGACTATATCATAATTTGAAGAGATAAAATAGTTGTACCAAATGGTAAAATAATATACCATTTGAAAAAACAAGGTTTTAGATGTGTGAAGGTGGGCAGGTTGATGCCCCTATATAAAATCCCCTGTACATTAAAATAAACTTTCGTTTTTTTTATACATTTTAGCTACCTTTTATCTTTGCAATTATCAAATGTTTCCCTTAACTATCATTAACAAAGCCTTTTTGATGACATCCGTGAATTTTCATATTTTTCGCAATAACTTGCCAACGCTACAGCTTCCTGAAATATTTGGTACTGGACGTAAAATTTTACACTGAAATTAATGGTGTAAAAATATACAGGGTGCGCCATTTAAAAAATTCGACCTTTAAGCTGTCCCGCTTTAATAGAACACCCTATGTATTTCACAGTATTTTGAAAATGGGCCACAAAGTAAGCTCTATATCTTTCATTTAAAACATTTTGTTCATATTTCTTATGAAAAGCGAGATATTGGACTTCCTCGCACTAATGAGCCATCCTGTCATCTTAGACATTTATGATCCGTTAAACGAGCTACCTGGTTGCATATGCGTCGCTTGTATGTATTAAATATAATGATGTTGAATCCACAACGACCTTTACGCTTTTCCACCATGGAATTTTTAAAGTAGAACGTACTTCGTAATTTCATTGTTCCTCTTAGCTACATTTAAACAATGGTATTACAATAGATTTTAGTGACTTAAGCATCTGTTACACCAAAATAAAAAATGTTTATTTTTGTATTATGTAAAAAATCTCATAAAGTATAAAACTGGCATGAATATTTTAAACTTGATAAAAATGGGATACAAGATTAAATTGACAGCACCACTGGCAACGGTAAATATAGATCGACTATTTTTTTCAAATTTGTGTTGAAAAAAGTAGTTAAGAGTTGTAAATCGAATTTCCTTGTTTTATTATACATACTTTTGAAACTTTACTATTACTTGTTGCCGGGCTTAGGACACTCTATATTTCAGAATAACTACATTCTTAATAATACCAGTGTTAGGGAGGATACAGGGGTTGAGGGGCGATCGTCCCCCTCCTTTGAATCCAGATATTAAATATTTTAAGAGCCATTTAGAGAGCACTATATACAATGGTGTTTTTAAAAAATCATATCTGCCATATTAGTTACACTAGAACTTACAAATTTAGACTGATTTTAGATCAAATGCTACTTGAAGGTACGATCATAGGAAATTTAAATTAGATGTGGAGTAAATGGTTACTTGGACATTAAAGAGAACTGAAAAAATTCCTTAACTGTGTTGTTTAATATTGTATCTATTAAGAATATATTTGCCATAGGCGTAT